ATCCCAAGCCAGCTCTTAACCAACGTGCCACTCACCTGGCCCAGCCTTTGTTTTAAAGTCTATTTTGTCTGGTACAAGTCTTGATACTCTAGCTTTTTTCTTTGTTTGTTTCCATTTTCATGAAGTTATCTTTTTTCACCCCTTTACTTTTAGTCTGTATCTTTGAATCTAAAATGAGTGACTTATATGCAAGATATGTAAGAGTTTTGTTTCTTATCCATTCAGCCACACTATCTTTTGATTAGAGCATTTGATCCATTCATATTTAAAGTAATTTTTGATAAATATGTAGTTTTTGCCATTTTATTAATCATGTTTTTTATTATTATTTTTTTCATCTTAAAGAAGTTCCTTTAAGATTCCTTGTAATAGTGGTTTTGTGGGGATGAACTCCTTTAGGCTTTTCTTCTCTGGGAAACTATCTGTCCTAGGATTCTAAATGATAGCTTTGCTGGGTAGAGTAATGTTGGTTGTAGGTCCTTTCTTTTCTCCATTTTAAATATTTCATACCAATCCCTTCTGGCCTCCAAAGCTTCTGTTGAGAAATCCGCTGACAGTCTTATGGGAGCTCCCTTGTAGGTAAGTGCTTTTCTCTTAATGCTTTTGAGATCCTCTCTTTGCCTTTGGCATTTTAATTATATTGTGTCTTGGTGTGAGTTTCTTTGGGTCTATCTTATTTGGGACTCTCTACGCCTCCTGGGCTTGTATTTCCTTCACTAAGTTAGGGAAGTTTCCCATCCTTATTTCTTGAAATAAGTTTTCAATTCCTTGCTCTCTCTCTCTTCTTCTTCTGCTACACCTATGATGTGAATTTTCGTATATTTGATGTTGTCCCAGAGGCCCTTTAAACTATCATTTTTTGAATTATTTTTTTCTGTTTGCTGTTCTGTTTTGGTGTTTTCTGCTACCTTATCTTCCAAATCACTGATTCAATCCTCTGCTTCATATAATCTACCATTGATTCCCTCTAATGTATTCTTCTTTTCAGTTATTGTATTCTTTATTTCTGACTGGTTCTTTTTTATGCTTTCTGTCTCTTTGTTGACATTTTCCCTGAGATCATTGAGCATCCATATAACCAGTGCTTTAAACTCTGTGTCTGGTAGATTGCTTGTCTCCATTTTGTTTGGGGTTTTTTCCAGAGCTTTGTTCTGAACTTTTATTTGGGACATGTTTCTTTGTCTCCCCATTTTGTCCACCTCCTGGTGTTTGTTTCTATGTATTAAGTAGGGCTACTATGCCTCCTGGTCTTAGTAGAGTGTCCTTATGTAGTAGGTGTCCTGTGTAGCCCAAGAGAGCCATCTCCCTAAAGACCAGAGCTGGGTCCTCCAGGTGTTTTCTTTGTGTGGGATGTGTGTGTCCCCCTATTGTAGTTGAGCCTTGGTTGTTGTTTTGTTGTTTTCATGTCAATGGGAGGGATTGACCCTTAGGCCAATTGGTTGTGAAGACTGGTCACAACTACAGCGGAGGAGCTGTTGTGCAGGGGCTGACCCTACAGAGCAGGATTCACTTTAGCAGGGCTCTGGTGCCTGCCCAGTCTGCCCTTTTGGTGTGCTTCCTTGGAGGTGGCTGGGTGATGCCTCAGTTCTGTCCAAAGCTGGCCTCCAGGCATGCCGGTTCCCAGGGCCTCCTGGGAGAGTCCCTGCTGCAAGCCAAGTTCAACCACAGCCTGTGCCCTGCCTGGGGCCTCCTGGCATGAGCCACAAAGCAATCGACAGATGGCCACCAACCGTGCTGGGCTTGGAGGGGCTTCAAGAGACCGAATCATGAACCAAGACCAGCTGTGGCTAGTGCTGGGCTTAGAACTGCTCAGCAATATATGTGGGATATGCTGAAGCCAGCTTCTGCTTTGGGCTCTGTGAATCTTAGAGCGATTTTCAGAAAGTCTACAGCATGAACCACAACAGGCTGTTTGTACAAAAAGCCACTGGAAGCAGCTTGGGTGTGCCCAAAATTTGGGTGGGGCAGGGTCTCTCCAG